TAAACCTGATGGTTGGATATGCACAGCAAAAGCCAGTCCTCCTCTTAAGTACTCTCACACACATCCTCACCCTCCAGGCTAAAATAAATTCACATTCTTCTCAAGTGGTTTGTTAAAATCAAAGACCACTATCTTTATCCTTTGCTGGCCTCCTGGTTAGTCTACACTGTGGTTGCCATATTTATTTCCAGGTGATGCTTAATACTCCATTTTAGTGGGTAAAGTTATGACAATTAAGGTGTTACTGCTAGTTCTGAATCAGATCAGTAGTATAGGAAAATGGAAAAACGAGAGTCATAAAGACAAGATATTATAATATCTTGCTTTCTAAAAGCACCCTCCTTTATGCATCTGCATGCATATATTTATAACACATAATCTGTTATAAATCTGTATACTTTGTAATAAAAAGTAACATCAACATTCTTAAACAACTTAGCATTAATATAGACGTTCCCATGTATTTAAACTGATTTGCAATAATCATCTTTCCCCAAGCAACTTTGACAATGCAGTGTTGAAGTTATTAACGCTGATTAAAAAGAGGTAATACATGTCTTTATCAATTATGTCTTCCAGTTAAATGTCTCCATTTTGCTTTAGAAGAAACCTGGCAACAGATTACTCAAATCTTGAACTCAAATCTCCATCAAGTAAATGCTTGACATGGATGGAGATGCCTTTCATATAGAGGATAAACCAGTTGCTGTAGAGATGGACACTCTCTTAACATGCCCTATGCAGATAGATTTTCAAGAAACCTGTGGGTGGAAAGAACATGGTTTGAGAGGAAAGACTGCAGCAATGAAAACTGAAACAACAAATGGAAGAAAGAATAACACAATGGTGAGGCTCTGAAATTAATGAGTTAAGTACAGTCTAGCACAGCTTTGGAAAGTGCTATTAGAAGAAAACCCCTTTCTCTTCTCCATGAAACTGTATTAGAATCAAGTGGCAGTGTGCCTTTTTCCAACATTAGATCTTAATCCTGCAGATGCTGTATGCACAGAACTCTGAGATGAAATGACAGCAAATTCCATGTAAGAAGTGGCAGCCTAGTCATTTTTGCAGCTATGTAGACTAATCACTGTATTTTTATCAAGGGCTGTTCATTTTTTAGCAACTCAAACCCACCTTACTTTCCTGAGTTTTCTTAACTGTTAACAGGAATACCACTGACAAAAACAACATAAAATTGTGAAACGCCTTTATTACAATATTTTGTATTACAATAGCCATAGTTTTATTATTGTTTTTAAAATGAATTAAGCACTTTGCAATTGTACAGCGCTCCACTAAAATAAAATGACCTTTTGTCTAGCATATGTGCTTTACTGATATACTGTGTAATGTACTTTATTCTGGACAAGATGTTTAATCAGGAAAGACAACCCCTTTTCATTTACATGGATTCCATGTTTCTTTAAAAAACATCCTTGAAAGAAACTTGAAACTGTGGACTACTAGACATTAATTTATTGTAGGACTATAATAAATACAGGTTTTTGAAAGTGCATTCTATGGCAATAACCCTTGGGAAGAATTCACTTTTACAAAATCCTCATTATAATGGAAGTGCTTGATTTGAACACAGTGCAAGCAGTCAAGTTGTCCTGAGAACTTATACAGGTGATCCTAAGTTTACCTTCATGACAGGTGCGTATTACCACTACTTAATGGCTTAATCCCTTTTTTGTCAGCTAGAATCCTTTTGATGTTCACTACTGAATGTGACAGGAAAACATAAGTGCAAATTTCGTCTTTCATATGACAGGTGCCAGTAGTCACGTGTGAATGTTTTAACAGCTTAATGCAGAGATACTCTCAGGTCTGTTATACGGTAGGCGTGCTCAACTCACAGTCAGCAATGCCAGACAACTGGTTTAGTAACAGCTACCATCAGTTCTTCTCCAGCAGCGCAAGACAAGCAAAGAGAGAAATGGCAAACTTGGAATAATACTTTAGTATTCAAGATTTTGCACGTGCAAATACCCTGAGAGGTTGCGGAAGAAAGACAAAGCCAAACTCATACTGCTGACACATTAATTTCTCACCTCTCTGACACTGTGGTATACATGACATTGACCTTTAAACTGACAGCCTCAGCTTTACATAATCTGTCCCTGCCTGCAATAACACTCAGATATGACGTTTGCTAGCACATGAAAGAGTCTCTCCCAGAAGATGGCAACAGCATCTTTCTGCCAGTAAGCCAAGTATTGCATTGGGCTCCGGCAACATCCGTTGTAAACTGGTGTCAAATACCAGTCTCATAAGAGAGGGATTTTTAATGGTGTGCTAAGAGGCAATTCGGTGGTTTTGCTGATGGAAGAAAGACAGCAACTTGGGAGAGGAAAGAGGGGAGGGAACAATATTTTAAGACTGCCTTTTATTCAGCACAAGTGCTTCTGTGCCTGTGCGTGTTTGTTTTCTTACTTCGCTGACAAGTACGTAAAATGCCGCTTCTATGGACTTTAACAATACTGCATAAACTTTAATGGAATTCCTTAAGTGAGCAAGTTTCACCAAAGTAAGGGTGTGCAATTTCAATTCATGCCAAGAAAGATTCTTCTGCAGTCACTGAAGGCGTGTTTCAGCTCATCTAACTTGACATCTACAGACTTTGGCATAATTTGGCACAATCTGCACTAATGCTGAGAATTTCAGTATGGCAGAACTAGTCCCGCAGTGCGCTCTCTGCACTCAGCAGAGATGACACGGTTTGTCACATCACAGGTAGTCTGCTAACTATAGCGAAAACATCTCCATTGACTATGAAGAGCATAAGTTGACTACTACAGATATGTCCTATATTGTCATATGTCATTTAGTCATATAAAGCCCACCATAGGAGGCAAAAAAACTTAAAATTAGATAGTGGCCCTTCTTACAGGGCTCTGACTTCTTGTGCCGTATGAGGAAGACCAGACCCCCAGTTCCCTGCATTGATTTTTCTAGGAGACGAGAGTTGCTGCCAGATTGGTAATGGTCACTCCTCTAACCCAGATAGAGAAAATAACGCAGGTGGATTGAAA